AGCAGCAGCAGTGAAGTGCCACAGGGGAGGCTCTGTCCCCAGTCCCACCCAGCGGTCCTGCAGAGCTGTGGTGGTGCCCGAGGGTGGCCAGGACATGCCCACAGCCTGTCCCTGTGGCCAGGCCCTCACTCCACCCAACCCTAGGGGATTATTTCCACCAATTCCTGGCACACAGCCCTCCTGAGACCTTGGAAACAGGGGGAAGACACAAACATCAGATCATAGCCCACTCAACAGCTCTTTGGGCCATGCTGATTTACCTTTCACAAAGCCCCTTCCACCACAGAGACCTCCACAGACAGGGGACAGAGGGATAAGGATTGTCCTTGGCAAGGAACCTGCCTGGCTGCTGCGCAGGTGTTAGGACAGAGGAAGGATTCCTATCACCAAGAGTTGCTTTGGAGCAGGAGGGAACAGGTCTGTACAATATTGCTAATGTCTACCTCAAACATTCCAGTCAATGAAGATCATATCCAAAGGGTCAGGAAATAACGAGCTGTGCCATGAATGCTGGGTAGAGACAAAGGACAGGACCCAAAAGCCATTCTTGCTGGTTCCTCAACATCACTTTTCATACCCTGTTAGAATGAACTCCAAGCCCTACATCCAATCAACCATTTACCAAGTTTTGCTTCGGTTTCCCATTAAGCTGGAGATTCTTGGTCTAATCTGACAATCAGATTTTACACTACTGGTTTCCAAAAGTAACAGAATTTTTCATCTATGGAATAACTCTAATCAGTAACTATGCAGGCTTTTCAGTCTGCCATGACAAATTGGGAAAAAATCAGCACAAGTCTGACCAAAAAAGCTCAGAGCAAGGTCCTTCTGACATGGATGTACTAACAGACTTGGCTGGCTACAGCCCCACCACCTGCAGATGATCATCCTGTAAGAGTTTGGTTTGGCAAGAGGGACCAGAGGCATCGATGATGACAGTAATTACCTGGAAACAGAAACATCTCCTGTTAGCAGGGCAGAAGCTTGTATTATTCATTGGATTTGACTTCATTTTGCTTGCTTTTGGGTCATTTTGATCTTCACTGATTTAAAACCAGACAGAAGCAACTACTAGATCATATGACAGTATCAGTTTAAAGAGAGGGGAAATGGGTGATGTTCCTCTCCCACATCTAGCCCATTTGACAGCACAGCTGTGGGTGTCACTGTGCAAGAGTGTTCCGTTTTGTTAGTCAAATTTCTGCCACGCAATGAATTTATGAGTCAGTGGTAGGCACATCAGTATGGGATCCTTTAGTTCTATTCACACATGCACAGTGACGGGTCCCAGCTGGCTGCAATAATCCCAAATGGATCATCTTGTCTAACAGACACCAGGATTATCCCAGAGATATGTGTCCAACAGATGGGTGCCAGGGCATTCGCAGAGGGTATCGCTTGGCACTTCTCCTTCCTCCTGCACATCCCAACCCAAGAGGATTCACCTGTTTATCCCAGGATAATCTGAAACCTACTTCACACACATCTCTGCGCACCAGCCTCCTACCAGCAGCTGCAAACCACAACCAGCCACCACTTTCTCCATGGAGCAAGGTGAGGCACCAACATTTACAGCTGTCCCTGGAACAAGTGGAGCCAGTACTCATCCTTCAGGAGCAAGAGCATTATTAATTCAACTTTGGCTTTCAGAGCTACAGTGCCAGAAAATCTCATGGTTTCCTTTGTACATCTGCAGGTGCTTGAGCTGCTCCCCATGTGTAGGTGTGAAGTGACCAGTGCAAGGCAAGGCTTCCCCAATCAGACTCACTGTCCTGATTTTCTTGTGCCTGCTCAGACTTTGAAGCACAGCCCTAGGAGGGGCAGGAGCAGTTGTCTGTCTACATCTCTGTATTCCTTTTTGTTTCATCTCATTGCGAAGGCTTAAAACAGGTAAAAATGAAGATCCAAGAACAGGCTACTCACCTCCTTCAAAAATTAGAGGGTTGGAGATAAGGTTTTACTTTAAGACCATCAAAACAACAGTGGGAGGGGAGCAAAATAGCTCAGATCAGAAATCCAACCTTAACCAGTATAAAATGTAAGGAAACATCTTTGCTATAAGAGAAACTGGAGGGAAAAAATCTGCATGAGCAAACTCTCAGCTCCTTTCCTCCCCTCAGTCGCCCTGCGAGCCTGAGCCCGGCTGTGCCTCCTGCCCACCCACCCCGCAGGAGCTGTGTGCCACAGAACCGTTCACTGACAGCTCTAGTGGACCATCCCAGCCTGTCTCCAAACCCTCCTGTGCCTCGGCCTATTTGGAGCTGGAGTGGAGCCCAGCTGTGCCCCAAGGACTGCACTGTCATCCCCAGCACCGCTCCGAGCCCATCCTGCCACGACTCAGCAAACAGCTGTGGGTCAGCTGTGCTGGACACGTTCTGCATTTCGGGAAAGCCTCCTCCACGGGGAACAGGCATCTCCCATTAGCCTTAATAGAACCTAAATTTGAACGCAAGGAGAAAACCTCATGCAATATTGATGGTACAGTACTTTAACAGCACACACTGTACCCGTGTGAGAGGCTGCTCAGCTCACACCCTCTCTGGCCCATCTGAGCTACTTTCAGATGAATTTGCACATGAAGAACGTTCTTTATCTTCACACCAGCCTTTACCTTCCGAGTGGTATTTGGAGCATACAATGTATTTGGTGTATCAAAAAAATATTCCTCCCTCTATTCTTCCATCTTTGGAACTAGTTCCCAGTTGGGAAGAGTCCCTCCAATGGGCCTTTCACAGGAGCTACTAAGTGGCTCTGCAAGGACCACCTCTGCCTTCGCCTCACCAGTGGTGTAAGACACCTCCCAGGTTTAGGCCCATTAACCTGATCAAAATATCTTGATGAATTAATGCTCAATATAGACACAGTTGGTAGCTTCTAAATAAATAAATATGGCTAAGCAGCTGCAAAGGAGACATCATGTTCCACTGGAAAGCCAGATGTCAATTTTATTGGTCCTCAAAGTTTTAAATGAAATGGTTTGGGGAAATTTTGAATGAAATTATTTTGGGAAATTTGGAAAGGGAGTTCTTTTGCTCCGGGTGAATTCTCTGCCTGCCCTCAGGGGGACCAGCTGCAGCCAGACCTGAGCATGTGGCTGGAGAACCCCTGCAGCCCACCCGTGGCTCCATGGCAGCAGCAAATGGTTCAGAGCGTAACAGAACCATTCAGATTGAGATAAGAGAGACTCATTTGGCACCATGGCCACGGCTTCAGATTTTGCCTAGGAAAGGATCCTTTGAAAAATCCATCTCTGAAATTGTATCAGTGTCAAAAATCCACAAAACTTATAGGAACCAAATGCAAAGCCTATTGAACTGGGTAAGAGTCTTTCCAGGAACTTTAATTGGATTGGGCTTTCCTTGCACTGGTGATGCCTGCTATAGACTTTCACTCTCCAAAATTTCTAAGGTCCCTAACCGTGGCTGTAGTGCTCTGGAAGCAGTGAGAGCAACCCCTGAAGATAAAAATTTGAATAACATGAAAATCAGGAGTCTGTGTTTGCTAATTCAGGCAAAACCCATGTTCATTCTCTCTTCAATTAGTAAAAAACATTGTGTCTATATGGCATTCATATTTTTTCTCTGATTTGAAATATAAATGCAAACACAATTTATTTTAATCCATTCCTTTAACTACATTAGTTCTCCTCCTAGAACTTGTATGAATTTCAAGCAGAAGCTGCCTAATAACATAAATCATCCATCCCTGTCGGAATATAAGCGGATCCATGACCTTAGAACAATTTTGCTAAGAAATCCAGCTAGAAAACTAATTTTAAGTAAATCTATGGATGTCAAAAACCCAGATGGCTTTTCAGGATGCTAACTTAAGCTTCATTACATAAGCAGATTAGGGCTGCCTGTTGAGCCCCACACAAGAGTAGATGTGTGCTGAATCCACGGAATTACATCCAAACTGTTCACTTCCTGATACATCTTACATCTAAAACTTTTGTCAGCTCCCCACGCCTCGAGCCTGTTAACTGTGAGCACCACACACACCCAGAACGGCAGCTCTGCCAACCAAATGTTATCCCTCTATCCCTCTCCCAAGGCCACTATCCAAAGCAGCAGCTGGATAAAGCCCATTTCTACAGGCAGACTGGGGAATTGTTCCATCCTTCACCCTCTGCAAATGAAAATGGAGGGAAAAAGCCTCATGAGCCTCTCAAATATTTAAGCACAGCAGTTGTGGAATGATTTTTTGATAATACAGACTTATAGAATCAAAATTACCCTCATGTTACCAATGGTAACCAGCCTCTACCTGAGTATCAGCTTAGGAAGTTAATGAGCCCAGCAGCGCTACGGGCTCAAATCAGCACAGCAGAGTGAGATCTGATGTGACTGCAGGAAGCAGGGCACACACTCCTCATGGATGAGGACAGCTGGTTTTCCACAGGCATGTTGCATAACAAGGCACAGCACCCTGCCCCTCTCTGCACGGAGCCCCCATTTCAGAGCACGGCAGCCGGCTCCAAGGAGGCCCCGTTGAAACGCAGCCAGAGGGACAGGATTGTGTTTTCCCTTCCCTATGTGCAAGTGTGTCAGGTCTGCTGACAGATGGCTTGGCTGACTGTGCTTGACAATTATCAAGCTGCTATTACCTTTGTAAAGTGACTCCCATTTGAAGATTTTCTGTAATTAATTCCGCAGCGCGTTTGCAAGGCTCATTTTATGTCCCACACATCCCGGGAAGTGTGCAAGGCACTCAGCTGGCTGATTTACACAGCTAGAGGCACCACATCCTCCAGGCAGGCGGACGGGGTGCTTTCAGCAGTCTGTGCTGCCACCTAGCCAAGGCCAACCCGCTGAGCTCAGCCCCGGTTTGCATTTCCAAAGCTTAAACTGAAATGTATCCCCCCGGATCTAAATAAAGCCTTAGTCTGCAGCAGACACAAGGAAATCGGCACTCTTTGTGCCTTGGGAACTGTACGGTCAAGGGAAGGGAGCAGCTTAAAGCAGGGAGTTACATTTCCCTCTGAAACGTCCTGTACTTACGGTAGAAGACATATTCGGTGTAGCTGGACCAGACCTTGTCGTCTGTGTACTGGTTGACGAAGGAAGCTGTCACCGAGGAGTTACAGGCCACCATGTGGAATCCACACTCGGACAACATGTCGAAAGCCCTCTCCAGGTGCTTGAACTTGAGATAAAACCTGGAGGTGTACCTTTCTGGAGCCCTGTCCGGGTCTCTGCTTTCATTCAAACTTTCTCCAAAGACCTCTTTGACCAGAGCAATCCTTCCACAAACCAAAATCCTTGGGACCCTCCTGAATTTGGCATCTGCTTGGCTCTCCCTGCCAATAGTGCACGACCCCCGGTACCCGATGGTAATGAATCCCCACTTCCGATCTGACGGTAAGAGCGATGAGGGTGGGCATATTCTCGTGTCACTGCCTTGGGAGACCTCTTCGTAGTCACTGTGGCAATAATCATCAGGGCTTTGCTTGTTGTCATCAGGAGTCAGGAGTTTGACTAAGTCTGGGAGCTGGAAGTACTCAGCCTCCCTCTTGAGCCTTCCCTTCTCTGGGAAGTGGTCAGGCAAAACCACTTGCTTGTCCCTGAGATAGTCCAGAATATAGCGGAAAAGGAAACCATCTCTGTCAATGAAGAATCTTCCCTTGGAGTCCTTGGCCAGATCGTTGGCTGTGTCTCTCTTTGGGGTGAACATTTTCCACAGCAGGGAGTGAGGGGTGCCAACCAAGGTGGAGTGGCGAGTGAAGTAAACCTGGCCACCCACGTTGAGCTCCACTACCTCTGGGAAGGAGTGTAGTCCAGTCCCCTGCTCCCGAGGAGGCAGGTAAGTCCTGCAGTTGCCACTTAGAGCCATTGTATTTTAAACCAGAAATCGGCAGCGCAAAGCAGCAGGACTATCAATCACATCAGAGGGTAGAATAAGGCTCCCAGCATTAAGGAGAAACAGCAGGGAAAGGAGGAGTGAGAAAATAATGATAGCCAAAAGGTTTGTTTAAAAAAAAATCTGAATTGTCCATGAGTGACAGTGTGGCAGAAGTGGTTTATACCCTGAGCCACAGAGGCTGGAGAGCAATCACCTCATGAAATGCAATCACATCATTAGATCTTCCAACAAAGCCATCAAAATCAAGGTCAAGCCAAGCCTATGGTCACGCACAGGTCTGTCAAAAGGGAAAACAAAATAAGGCACAAATTACTCTTCTAAGCATCACAGCAGCTGTAACAGAGCAAAGCAGAGCAGTTTGTAGAGCCAAGCTAGATCTCCTGCTAAATAGGTCTCTTTTTTTGCAAGTTCTATGCTTCTTTTTCACAAGTATTCATCAATGGAAGGGCTACATATGACTCCACTGTTTAAAAGAATATGCATACTTCATCTTTAAAGAAACGTTTAAATTTGACATGCACATGAGGGAACAAAAACAGGGAGTCTTACCTTGGTTACAATTAATGCATAGCTCTTGTAAAGGAATCAAAATGTCAAGACACTCAGAACACACATACAGGCACACAGGGTCCGGGTGGTGTGAATCCGATCCCAGCAAGGGACAGCAAAGGCAAGAGAAGTGCTCTTAGCAACATCCACGTAGATCTCAAGAGTTAAACCGAGTCACAGGGAAGTTAACCGTGGCGGGTGACGAGGAAAACCAGTACATACAGCACGGGGGAGGAAAATAAAATAAAATAAAATAAAA